TCGGGCATCCCCCGCGGGGTGGGGGGGAAATCGCGGCGGCGATCGCGCCGGTCCTCCGCGCCGCCGCCGCCGCGGCGGTCCTTTCCCCATCGTTGTGGGAGGCGGCGATGGGGGTGATTTTCTACGATTTTCCCGCCGCCATCGCGGCGTCGTTGCGTTTTAGCGGGATCCTTTTCGTTCTCGACGGGATCGAAATCCTCGGGGAGGATCTCCCGGCGGTGCTCGCCGCGTGGTGGGGGGATCCGCACTGCGAGGTGCTCCTCGCCTGGCCGTCGACACTCCCTGTGGCGCGATTTCCCTTCCCGGGGGGTGTCGCGTTCGTGGATACGGTGGGGATGCTCTCCCAGCGGGAGCTTGAGCGCGAGGCGGGGGGGATTCGCCTCCCGCGCTACCTGCGATGCGGGGGCGAGCGATTTCCACTTGAGATTTTTATGGGTTGCCCGGGTTACCTCGCGCTCGTGCTTTCCCTCGTGCGGTCTCTGAAATCACCACCTTTTTCCACGATGGTATCCCTTCACGGCGAGGGGAGGCATAGTCCCCCGCCAGAGCAGCCGTACGACATTTGCATTGAAGAGGAAGGCGCGCGAGAGGTTCTCAGCCAAATGAACCAGTTTGTTTCCGCGTTCAGGCAGCCCATTCCTTCTGTGGTGTCTTTTTGATAAGCGAGAACACCTATAACGAGCCTTCTGTTTACTGTTTTTTTTTTGATAAAAAAACAAAAAAAGGCGGGATTCAGTGGAGAGTGTTAGCCCATTTGAATTCCTTGATTGCTCCTGCATATGCGTGCGGTTTAGGCTTGGATTTAGATCGCAACGCTTTGGCCCTGTAGACGTGTTGCTCGATTGTTTTCCGAAAATTGAAATCTTTACCACGATCAAATTGCATGATCTCCCATTTTTGCGACTCATCACCAAAATTTTCGAATGTCTTTTTAAACCTCCCCTAAACTCACCTTCCTCAATGGGGTTGGGTTTCCTCCCTTTAATTGGTACTCCTCGATTCCCTTTAGGTTTGGGATTATTTCTGGATGGGTGCCTCTTTCCGTAATTTCTTCCGCTCTTTCTCTTTGTCTCTCTCTCTTCGTTTACACACGCACGCGGCGTGTGGTCACGCCGCAAGCACGCTTTTCGACCCCGCGCGGAGTCCCCTTCCGTAGTCTTATTCTTCGCTATCCACCCACCCAACCGAGTTCCCCACCGCGGTCTTTGTTCTACCACCCCCCCTTTAGCACGGCCGTTCCCACGCTTTCACCCCACCCCACCCCTGGTCCGATTCCACGCCTGACGCCGGGCCCGCCTTGTTTTTGTTCGTTGCCTTCCCCGTCCCCCCCCCCTGCGTGGATCCCTGCCCGGATGGCGAGGCCGCCGGAGTGGTGTCTGATCGAGAGCGACCCCGCCGTCTTCACGGAGCTCCTCCAGCGCGTCGGCGTGACGGGCCTCGTCGTCGAGGAGCTGCTCACCACGGACGAGGCCGAGCTCGCCCGCTTCCCGCGCGTCCACGGGCTCATCCTCCTCTTTAAGTGGGAGGCCGCGCGGGACGGGGGGCCGCACGGGGCCGTCGTCGCGGACGCCCCGGTGTACTTCGCGCGGCAGGCCGCCCCGA